ATTTATCGTGAGTAGCATATCTAAGTAATATTTTCTAACAAAGTGATGGATGTAATATTAATATACTAAATGTTTTACAAAGTAGAAACCATGTAAAGTCACCATCAAGCCCCCTGCTCAAGTATATAGCTTGCTTGCAATTACCAGTAATGCTGTATGTATTTTTAAACAAGCTATAATACTGTGATGATGCTGTAAACTTACTTCTGTAGGCAAAAAATGTTCTATTTAAAAATGTCAAGATGAAGGATGTAAATGTTCTGGAAGTGCTATCAACTAAAAATGTGAATTTTCACAGAATAGTCTAAAGGATTCTGTTACATGCTACAGATAGATTTTACAAAGGTATTTATGGATCATACACACCAGTCTGTGTGAACGGTACTATTTTATTACAAAATCAATAAATGAATAAATAAACAGTGAATATCCACGCCCAGAAGCTGGAAAAATGTTGGTTTTTAAGTAGCCTGATCAATTCTATAGGTAATTTGAAAGACAGAAGACTCAGTACTTCACTGACAGAAGGTATCCTCTTCCCCTCATCTCCCAGCCTCCCCCCACCCAAATCCTGCTGCTGTCAGTGCAGCCAAAGATCTCCAGAATCAGTTGTGGAGGAAAAAGGAAGTTAGCTGCATGAAAACAATGCAAATGTAGTATTTATAACAATCTGTTTTCCCCAAATGACACCCCATTTGTAACACACAGAGGCACTCAGACCTGCAGCTCTGGTGCAGGCAGGGACAATCACACACACAGTGTCTGGCTGAGCTCTTCCTGAGGGGAGACAGAGTCACTCCGAAAATCATACTGAATGGTAATAAAATTACAGTTTGAAGAATACAAGTATAGTTGAAAATGCTTTAAAAATACAGAGCTGGAAGCACTGCAGCTCTTGCTGGAGGATGTTTGGATGATTTGGGATAAGCGCACTGAAAGCTGCAGTTCAGAGTTTAACTGAAGGAGAACTGGGCCCTGTGTCAGACATGATTCAGGGGGACACAGGGGAACACAATCCCTTCCACAGCAGCAAAACCTTGTTCTCAATGCCACCAGTTTAAAATTGTTGTCAAGCTCCCAATATGAATAAATGCGTTGAGCTCCTCTTCTTGGATGCTGATCAAACTGGCTAGGATAAAAAACACATAAGCTATAAGCGACTCCTGCCACACACGAAACCCACGAATGGGGATGGATCTAGGAAATGGTGGGGAGTTACCCCAGGGGGGCCCTGAAGCATTTCAGGTTTTAGTACAGCTTCAGAGAAAAGATTCCAGACTAATGTAAGGAGGTCAAGAAGATGATTAGAGGGATGGAACACCTCACCTATGAGGAAAGGCTGAGAGAGTTGAGATTGCTCAGCCTGAAGAAGATAGAGCTCCAGGGGAACATTCAGCACTTGAAGGGTCGTACAAGAAAGACGGGGCAAACTTGTCAGCAGGAGCTGCTGCCTTCAGACAAAGGATAATGGTTTTAAACTGCAGGAGGGTTGACTGAGATCAGATATAAGAAACCAGTTTGGGTTTTTTTACAAAGAGTGTGGTAAAACACTGGCACGAGTTGCCCAGAGAAGCTGTAGTTGCCCCATCTCTGGAACTGTTCCAGGCAGGTTGGATGGGGCTTAAAGCAACCTGGTCTAGTGGAAGGGGTCCCTGCCCATGGTAGGGGGGTAGACTAGATGACCTTTAAAAGGTCCCTTTCAACCCAAACTATTCTATGATCCTATACTAGACCAGTGGAACAAGGTCCCACCTGCCTCCAGGTGACCTTGCTCGAACAGAGATTGGACTAGGTGCCCTCCAGTGGTCCCTTCCAAGCTCCACCATTCTGCCACGGTGTATTGCCCCAGTAGCTGGAAGTCAGTATTTGAATATGTTTATCTTTGTTCCCAGCTCATATCCAGGCACCTTAATTGCACTAACACTTTGTTTCCATTCAGCCACCAGCTACAGTCTATTGTGAATGAGATGGAAATTTATCCCAGAAAAACAAACACAAAATCCCATGGCCCAACAGATGGTTAGAAACAAGAATAAGGAATGAGTGAGCCTGGAAGCCAGGTTCATATTTTTAATGGAGAAAGCCAGAGCAAATGAAACTGAAAGTTACATTGCTGAATCATAGAATCATCCAAGGTTGGAGGAAACCTCTAAGATTGTCAAGTCCATGGGAAACTGATTTTAATGATCATTTGAGGAACATAATTTTATCCAAAGGGTCAGTTGTAACATCACAAAAGTGGTTCTCAGCCTACACACAATATAAAAATTTTATATATGGTAAACCTTCTCTATTTGCACAACGTTCAGAGCAATAAATTCTACATCACAACTCATTCAGAAGATTAAATAATGCAACTCTGTGAGAGCTGGAAAGCAACAGCTCCAAAGCACTTTGAACAGGCAGATTGATTTGTTTCAGGGCCACAGCTGCTTACCATAGGAATCCCCCCTGAGCCACCACACTCCTTTATGCCCCAGCAAGCACAAACAAGGCAGCACATGAATCAATATTTCCCAATAAGTTTCAGAGTGTTTCTTTGGATCAAGAAGATCTTTGCTGGGAAGACAGGGGAGCTTCTGTGAGAGAGAAAAAGGAAGAGCCATGATCTCTTTATTTCCCCACCTCCTCCCTGTCAGAGTTTTTGGATTTCTAGCCTCAAAAACTGCAGGATTATCAAATCAATTATTTAAAGACTCAGATCATTGCGTAGTACACCCCTAATAGCTGCTACAAGAAAGCAGAAGACAAACACTCAGATCTCAGAGTTATAAAAAACAAAACAACTGTAGTGAGCAGCAGGAAAACACATTCAACAGACATCAGCACTATCTGCTTTGATTTTTCAGAGGAACTAGGAGTTGTCTTTGTAACATTCATGCAAGCAAACAGGAACTGTACAGTCTGTGTGTGTGAGCAGGAACACTATTGTACACACCAATATTGTCAGACACCTAACCCAAATAGCTCACAGTTCAGTGTATTTACATAAAGGCTTGACAGGAGCTGCAAAGAAATATTTCAGTGCTCCTGGAAAGCGTCTACATGCTGAAAGCAAAAATATCATAATGTCTTCTTTTATTCATAAAAATAATCTCTATTTAGAGTTCTGGAACTCCCCTTTTTCTGAGTTTTGTAAGGGCTGAAAGTTGTGTGCATTGGCAACACCAACAAAATGACATTTCAAAGGAATCAGCTCCTGATCACCACTTGCACATCTGACAGCCCTTAGGAGAATTCACAGGGGATACTGGATGTCAAGTGTTTGCTAGAGACTTTCAAAGGCTAAAGAGAAACAGGGAATGTAGTACAAAGCAAATCAGGAATAGAGATGGAGTATCAATAAGAAAAGGTTTGGGAGGTTGAAAGGTAGGAGATTTCAGGGATTTAAACATTTCTAAGGATTACAGAGTTACAGGAAGAAACAAGAGGCAGTTTATACATTACAGAGGTGCCACATAAGCTGCAGCCACAATTCCAAAGTGAAAACCAAGCTTAGGGGAATATTTTTGATCGACTGTTAAACCTGCTGCTTACAAGAAACCAGAACAAACTGCCAAGAAAGTAGTAAGGACAACCAGCTTGGAATAACTCAGGGCTAGGCTTGACCTCCTCAGGATCAGTGAAATCATTTCATGGGAGGGTTTTAAACACCAAAAGGCTAACACCTGTCTCTACATCCCAGCATTTCTTTTCAGGTTTCCCACTGATTTGTGGGAAAGTGAAAACAAGAGGCTAAACAGCCCTCAAGCACCTCAAACAATACACAGCACACAGGAGGGAACACTGTGTGGGTATAAAATACAAAACTGACTTCAACAATGTGTATTCTTGCCCCCAAATGGGAAAATAAAATGCAATTGTAAGATTTAATCCCATGTGCTTTGTACCAAAAACTCAGAGTTCATAGATAAAGATACTCCTTTTAGATTTCCACAGCCTTCAGAGATCTCACTGCACACAGTCAGGGAACTGGAGACTGATCAGTCAGTAACTTGGTGACTCACCCAAGTCCAAGGCCACAAGGTCACAGCAAGAGCGATGTGAGGAGCTCCTGCTGTCAGCACTAATCAGCAAGGTGGGCTGCAGTGTGTCCACAGAGCAGCACAAGGCTTTGGAGGCTACAATGAAGATGATTTCACTATCTAACCCACTCTAATTCCTAGCATAAAGCCATTTTATTTGGATGTGCTCTGAATACCAGTCTTTCACCCAGATATATTCTTGAAAGATAATGACTTTGTCATCTTGAAAATTACAAAAAAAAAAAAAAATCACAACAAATTCCAAAGCATATTAAAAAAAGTAAAAAATATTATTCAGCAGCTTATTCCAATTTTAATCTGCTGTTTTCTCTCTCTTAGACACCAATCCTGCATAGGTTCTATGATTCATTTGTTATCATTCCTCATCCCGTTGGCATCACGGTGTTGCTGATTAATTTCTGCTATAGCCTCATTATTTCAGTTCTATAAATACCCCATTTCATTTTACTGCTTCCCAGAGTTACTCTGCAACCTGCTTTTTCTCCTCCACCTGGGGCTCTCACTTTCAATTTACCATGAGACGGTGGGCAAAGATTGAGCTGAAATCCAGTAATTATATCTCCCTGCCCCCAAAAAGGGAATCATTTATTTTCCTTATAGCTGGAAGCAGCTGTGAGCTGCTCTGAAATCCCACAGCAATCCCACAAAAAAACAATACTTATTACTTGCCAGATTAATAATACAAACTGTTGGGCTTCTGTAATTTGGAAAATGTATGGAGATAGATTACAACACAGTGCAACACTTGCATTGAGGAAGGACAAAGAGTGATTCCCATCCCAGGCAGCAGCATTCTGGGCATATCCGGTCCCACCTGCAAGAATATTAAACTACAATCCAATTCATCACTGCCAGAGCAGCCTATATCCATAATCATTGGTATTCCATACGCAACTGTCCACAGGAGACTCTCCCAGGTCTTTGTCCTTGAGTTATGTTTACTACTTTCAGGCCTTACACTTTCTGACCTTTCAGCCTTTGCCATAAGTCCCTGGGATCCTCTGAAGGTTTAGGAAAGCTTCTGAGTGCTTCTCCTAGAAGTGTAAGCACATCCTGAAATAGAAAGGAAACATGGACTGACTTGGGTTTGTATTCCTGTCATTTCTCATGTCCTGTATCCCAGACCTACCACTGGCAGCTCCAGCCAGTCCCTCAAAACTGGGTTGACAGCACTTATCAGCACAATTTGGGGGATTTTTAAAGGATCCTGTTTAAAAACTCTGTGGAACAGCATGGGCAGTGATCTGCCCCATAAAGCAGGTTTCTTCCCAAAGCAGGGAGAGGAAAAAGCTTTCAGGGAAGCTGGGGAAAAAAACAAAGAGGAAAAAAGTTAAGCCTCCCTTGAGCCTGAAGTTGTCAAATCTTAGATATGGAGTGAGTGAGAGTCAAAACTCAGGAGAGCAGAATCATTAGGGAAAAAAGGAATGTGTGGGACAGTACACAAATTCCCTCCCTGCTCAAAACATGGCTTCAGGAAGGCACTACTCATCCACTGCTCAGAAACAACCTGCTTCCAGGCTGACTCCCTTTCAGGAAGGGAGAGAACAGTTCTTCCTTCAGGAAGATCATCCTGAGTAATAACCACAGAAGACCCAAGGAATTCAGTACATTGCAGCTAGATTGCCTACCATCTGCTCCAGAGGTACTTCCCAACAATAAAGCTTCAGTCTTTGTGACAGCTGGCACAGATGGAAGACAGTTCTTCCAAGAAGGTATGTCAGTGTATCTGTAAGGCCTCAGCCCCCATAACATGTTGCAGTGTTCTATTCCAAGAGTCCTATGCCAAAGCATGAGCAAGGAAGACTAGTATGGGCACAGCTACCTACTGTCACGTCTTTTTATTTACCATTTGGTCTTTAACAGCCCATCAGATAACAAAACTGTGGAGGAATACTCAAGAGGGACCCAAACCCAATTTTAGGACATCCTAGGAATGACCTTCAGCTTCTATAAATCAAGGAAGTTCAAATGACTTAATCAGCATGTTGGTCCCAAGCACTTTATTAATGATATGGAGCCAAATTCTATTTGGACTTGCACTGCCTTCAGGTCATTCTGATCTCACTGCCATCCATCAAGGGAAACCTGGCTTACAGATGCTTGAGTTACAGTAGGTAGAAAATGTACTACAACCTTTCTTTTCCCCCCAAGACTTGCTTACCCTGGAGTAAATCTGTTCTTCCAGCTTCCCTTGGATTAAAGCACCTTCAATTAGAGTCTTTTTTTGTCTGAGAAAGGCAATCCTGGCCAGCTCTGCTTCCTTCTTCTGGCACTCAGGACATGCTGAAGACTCATGGATTTGAGCTTCTGTCACCTGGAAGAGGAGAACTGATGCAATGAGCAGTGTCTGTCCTAGCAAGATGACTCCTCCACTGAGAGCAATCCATAAAAACACAGCTAGAAGTACTGTCTAAAGGCAAAATTTGGCTTTTGTAGGCAGTTGTAAATTATTTCATTGTCAGCAATAGTTCCACCACCCCCAACTGCTTGTTCCTGTGCTGACAATGTGCACAAGGCCTTAAATACCAATCACAGAGGTTCTGATTATCTTTACAAATTCTGAGAGGCAAATAAACTCTGAAGCAATTAGTTCAAATATGCAGCTCTGAGTCAGAATACAAACAAAATTCTACAGTTTTCTCTGCAAGATAAACAGTGCTACTAAGAAATTTCTATGTTGGTTTATCCACAATGAAATCTTAGGCATTACCACAATGTAAGACAAATAAAGAGGAAGTAAAAATTCTACAGAATTTGGAACGGTAGGTTAACAGCAATACAATAAAAGAGTGCAGATTGCTGAAATCTCAAAGTAATTTAAAGAGACAGAACCCTGAAATAATCATCACACCAGAACTGACCTGAAGAACATCACTCCCTGCTCACCTGGCACAGGCTTTGCTGAGGACTATGTGATTACTTAGGCTATGCTATAGAGCATTATTAAAGCCACCAAATGTGATAGAACACAAAATACATGACTGTACTACTCAAAGCTCATTTTCTGTTTCATCAGAAATACTTGCCCAGATGCAGATATTCTGTACCAATTTCAAACCAAGCACAGACATTTGCCAAGGCTCAGATGTACAGGCAAAGGCATCTGCAGGTAAGGGTTGCTGCCCAAATCCACATAGCCACACATTCAAATCCACTTGCAAGCACAAAGCAAAATATCAGTGGCCAAAAAACCGCCAGTCTTAAGCCTCTTGGATGCAGAGGTGAGGGCAGGAGTTGTGACATAATGCCCATCCTGTGGTGGGAAAAATCACTGGGCTGGTGGGAAAGAAAAGCACTTGGAATTGGGTAAAGATGATACAGAGGCTTCTTAAATCACTGAATTCTTAGTCTTACCTAATGTCTAAGAAGGCTGGGAGCAGGGGGAGGTTTTGCCTTTGGAATACTTCTAATACGGCTGTCACAAGGACTTCACATCACATAACCTGCAGAATACTTCTATAAGTAACAGGTGCAGACAGAACCAGAAAATAAGGCTTTTGTCTGCAGTTGAGCCAGGGCTTACTGTGTGTGCAATTACTGACAGTCCTCGCTCAATCACACACATCATTATTTTAGCACCAAATAATATTTTATAATTATTTGCTAGCAACAGTTCTCCAATAGTGTCTAACAAAACAAATGACAAAGGTAAAGCTTAGGATAGTATGTTAAGGGGTTGGAATGGTCCTTAGAAATCATCCAGTCCCAACCCCCTACCCGGGGCAGGGACACCTCCCACCACACCAGGTTGCTTAAGACCCCATCCAACCTGACTTTGAACACTGCCAGGGTTGGGGCAGCCACAAAACCCCTGGGCAACCTGTGCCAGTGTTATCACCCTCACAGGAAAAATCTTCTTCCTAATACCTAAATTTCCCTCTTACAATTCATCCCCATTACTCCTTGTCCTACCACTCCAGTTCCTAACAAAGATTCCCTCTCCAGTTTCCCTGGAGGCCCTTCAGATCCTGGAAGGCTGCATGGAGGTCCCCACACACACAACCTCCTCTTCTCCAGGCTGAACAGCCCCAACTTTCTCGGCCTATCTTCATAGGGAAGGTGCTCCAGTCCCCTCAGGAGCTATGTGGTTTCCTCTGGACTTGCTCCAATAGTTCCATGTTCTTACGATGTTTGGGATGATATCAAGCCAAAATCTCTTTCAGAGGCCTGAGCATGGCATCAGGAAGGTCTGCCTGATTTAATCCTTACCTTATGGCCTTTTTAACCCAGTGGTTCTCCCAATAGCACAGCCAAACCCTCCATTTTTCCTCCCCTGCAGTACCTGTTTAACAGTCTCTCTGATGTTTCTCAGGCGGATTCTGCCCATGAGCCCATCAGGAATGCTGTAGCTCCAATCTCTTGTCTCAGTGGCCTTTACTGTGGCTCCCTGCTGCAGCCTCCTTGACTTGCCACTGTTTGCCTGCTCAGAGCTCAGCTGCTGCTGCTGCATCCTACTGATCTTCCTGGTGCAAAAAGACCTGAGAGCATCCAGTTCCCCAGCAAATAACTCAGGAATTTCTGCCAGGCATAAATCAGCAAAACA